AAAACCCCCCCCCCCCCCAAAAAAAACCCATCTTTGCCTTTAGTAAAGAATTATGTATAGGGAGGGCCTCTTAAGCGCTCATCAGCTACAAACTGACATGAGTGCTAATGTTGGTTCTCGATGCTTTATGACAGTCAAAGTACATAAAGACTGTAAAGGATCTTGGGGAGATACAAAAACTGGTGGCTAAGGCAGGTTAGTCTTTCACTTTAATTCTCAGTCAAAGGAGGAGCTACCCTTCAGTGACCTGTTTTCTCTCTCTAAGTTAATAGAGAAGAGCAGAGTTTCCTGGACAATGAAACTTACAATCTTTCCAAAACATGGACTCTTGTCTTTCAATGAAAAAGATCGGTTTTTGGCAAACAAGTTAACACAAATCCACAAGTCAATTTCAATATGGACTTGCAATCATCCTTATTTCTTGAGCTGAGGGTCTATCGGAAACCGCCTCTCTACCTTCAAGGTAGGGTTAAGACCTGCATACACACTACCCTCCCCAGACCTCACTTGTGGGATTATACTGGGATTGTTGTTGTTGTACTTGCAATCATCCTTATTTCCATTCTACTGGCCTTTCTATTCCCCTAAAAGTTCATACCTTTTCAGCACCTCCAACCACATTAAATGAGTTTTAGTGTCAGAAATTGTGAAAGAGAGAAATCAGTTAAGCTCTTAGACCTTTAACACCATAGGAACCAGGCATAACCTGACAGACAAGCGGTTTAACGGTTAATTCGTCTTCTCCATCCAAGGGGATCAGTGAAATCTCAAATTTTCTCTTGACATCTCCATAATATGTTTACACACTAGTTATAGTGACATGCTCAACTACTCATTACGAATTTGAGATAGCATTAGTCTAGTCATTTGAATACATATATACACACAACTCGGAAGGTTTCTTTTTATGACGAGTGAAGTCATTTATCACCCTATGCGCTTGACATGGTTACTAACAACTAATAAGGAATTGGATGTGAACTGTGTACTCCTTATTAGTGGCCCCGTATAACAAGTAATCAATAGAAATCACTCTTTCAACCATGCAGCACATCTATAAAGCATGTCGGGCTAAAAGCAAACAACAAATTATACGTGAAATTTTTTCTAGTCTGCAGGTTGGATGTTTGTGAGTATGTCACCCAGGGACACCATTAATATTGAGTTCAGTATAAGTGCTGCACATGGCCACCTCTTGTTAAAAAAACCACCGACCTCGTCTCCTCGCCCTTGGGAGTTCTGATCCATGGTTGTCAGTTCTTGATGAGATGAGAATTGTACATAAACATTTCTCCCCCTGTTGGACATGCAAAATGAGCCACCAATCAAGGCAAACAAAAAGATGTAGCAAAGTCTAGTCTCTTGAAAGCTTAGCAAACACAGTAACATGAAAAGCTTCACATACAGCTCTCCAATTGGAAATACAAGTTTTGTCTCAAAAGATACCTGATGCTGGGTTGAACATTTGAATAGAACTGTAATGCATTTACAGCAGATGGAACGCCTTGCATTTGCAAGAGAGCCTGTATTCCATAAGATATAATTAATTTAAGAAACATCAACTTACTCGAATCATTCTGCCATTCAAAATAAATGTATAAAAAAAGCACCTGATTTTTTGCCCTAAGCATTACAAGTTTGGTAATGACGCCGAAGGGTTGAAATAGCTGAAGCAAGTCATTCTGGAAAGAAACAACATAAGAATCATTGCATGCCTACAACATCACTTTCCTTCTTGTCACGATAGAGTGGAAAAGAAAACTAATAATAGAAAGAAATCCAATTGATGCCAGCCAAGTGAATGCAACAGGAAGGATTTGCTGCTCCACTCAGGTTTGAATATTTACTGCCTCAAAGTACAAAGCGAATCCATCTTTCAAAATGTGTTAACACTAACACCAAATAAAAGCGGCATAAGGCTAACTGCTCCTCTATTGGAAATTCAAATTGAGGTGGGAAACAAATGCCGAGAAGCTAAAAAGAAAACATAACCCGACCTTTAAAATGACTTGAACGCTTCGCTGCACACACACACACACATAAAAAAAAAACCGCAAAACTATTAATGATTCAACGCTAAAGCAATCCAGGGACGGTCACAGAAAAACAAGACCAAATTGCCAGATCAAGATGTTGAGCTTTCCACCTGCAGCCACAGGTTCTAGAAGAATCTCTTCAAATAAAAAGCAAGAACGATCACTCTGGGAAATCTGCTAGGCCAATTCTGAAGAATGGGCATTAGCACGTGGCAGGCAGTCCTTTTGAATCATTTATCACATATTTTCCTATCTTTTTGTGTATCATTTATTACACTGGGTTTTTTGTGTATCTTAAACTTCCTCCATTATTAAGAAGCTTTTGTTCGTCTTTGCATATTTCTTCCATGCACATCAGGTGCACTAATTTTTTTTAGTTAGTCACATGATTGATCTCAAACTTGGAAATAGTACAACACAAAAAGAAAAATAATAGAAGTACTCTGCTTTTGATAGAGCAGCCATGCGACAAATGCAGCCGTGAGAATACTGCGAACATAGTAAAGAAAAATAAATCTAGTGCATGAATACTTGGAGCTCAGAAATAACGTGTTGAACTCATAAGAACAAATGCCTATCTAAGAGACAAATAGAAAGAAAAAGCAAAAGTGGATAGGTTTTTTTTTTTTTTT